TATATGGTGAAAATCAGATCTAATGAAAGAAATAGAAATGCATGTAGTGTATTAAAGTACGTATAAGATTTAACGGTCATTAAAATTAAAAAAATAGAATAAATCTAGAAAGTTGTGATGACATTTTAATAAATAAGGGCATGTTTGGGGAAGTGTTTTGGATAAAATTTTAGCGGTGCAGATTACTTTCAAAACACTAACGTTAAACGCTGCCCGTAGATAGTTTTTTCAAAACACTAATGCTAATCGCTAACGTTATCTCCAGACAGACTATAAGTGAAACTTTGTTGGTACCGCAAAGATGCATCACCAAGAGGGCATCCGCCTAGGACCTAAAAGAACAAAGACGTCCAATTCTTTTAACCCTATATAGTACAGATCGGAGTATAATATTTTCTATCTATTACATTATTGAAAAAAAATATTCTACTTCTATATAAATTTCCACCTTTAATGCTCTCACCGTCCCGAAATATATTATAATTTTTTACTCTCTCACATCTCGATAACCTTTATTTATTTGTGTGTTTTCATTGAATATTTGATAAAATAAAATATTATTGTCACCTCTCGTTTTGTAGAACTTTTGACATAATTTTTTAATATGCAATTTTTATTTTTTATCGATATACCAATTTATAAATAAAATAATTTCAAAAAATAAGAGATTTTGCTTCAGAACTTCTAATTTGTAATCAAATTAGGATTTGAGAGAGTATTATCTATTTTAATACTACAAGATAGTTCTTATTAGGTTACGTTCTGTTTGTCTGATCTGATTTTTCAAAAATCTAATCTTATAATTAGAATTAAAACTATTTCTTATTTGATCTGATCTATTAAACCCTCCCTTTCGCGTACGTGTAATGGAGATCCATCGACCGAAGTTAACTGACACGTACATGTGGGAAGTTAGAATTGAAGATACTCCCACGCTTTCAATAATTTGCATGTGCGGGTGTCGTAAATATTAAATACTCCCTCCGTCCCAAAAAGAATGGGACGGTTTGACTTTTTGGGAAATTAAGGGAGAGATATTTTGGTATTGACTTTTCAAAAATACCCTTGGTGTGATGGGTAAAAGTAGGATGTGATGGGTAAATTATTAGAAAAAAAGTATGATGTGATAGGTAGGGTATGAAAAAGTAAGGGGTAAAAGTGGTTTTTTAATAGAAATGTAACGGACTTTACGGGACGCAGTTTTTTATAAACGTAACAAACTTTTTGGGACAGAGGAAGTATTTAAGTACTTTACCTCATTTCCATGAATTTAATCTAATATGTGAAGTAGCAAAGAAAAATGTTAGGGGTACACCATACTAAAGGTGTACCCCATTTGTCCACCATCCCCTCCATAACCACAAACAAAAGGCAAGAAATTTAAAAAAATTAAATAAATAAAAATAAAATAAAATTGAGTGGTGAAGAGTGGGGTGGGGGACAAATGGGGTACACCTTTGGTGTACCCCTAGCATTGCTCTTAAGCAAATTGTTGAAGGGTAAAAAAAGCTCTCTATGTAATTAAAATTTGCTTCCTCCGTCCCGGAGTATTCGTCCAGTTTTGACTTTTGGAACTGTTCATCTAAGTACTTTGACTCATCAAATTCTCTCAATGTGTAAGCCTAAATATAGTCATGTGTGATCTTGTTTGATTTATCTTAACATATAGATTATTAATATATAATTTCTATAATTTTTTAATATACAAATTACAAGATAAAATGGATTAAATAAGTGTATTGGATGGTGTGTAAAAATGAAAGTGGACAAATACTCTGGGACGGATGTAGTATTTAATAGATAGAGAGAGTTGTTGATAGGCTTAATAGCCAAATATTTATGACTCTGTAACAAAATAAGAAATAAAAGAAGTGTAATACTCCTTCCGATCCATCCCATAAAACATATTGATCTCCTTTCTTTTCTCACCTGTTCCAAAAAGTATTTTTCATTTATATTAATATGTTACATTTATTTCTATTAATTCTTAACACACATATCACGTCATATTTTTTCACTATTAATTCTATCTATCTATCACATCTTACTTTTATTCATTATATCCAAAGATATTTTTGGAAACTCAATATTAAAATATACTTCTTTTAAATATGTTAAAAGTCAAAATAATCAAAAAAAAATTGTAGGCCGGAAAGAGTAATTTGTTTCTCAAATATCTAAAAATTAAAGTGTAACAAATTTTATATTTTATAAATTATAAGTGGGATGGAGAAGTAAAATTCCCATCCAACGTCATGTGGAGGAATCTAAAATACACATACATTTGATTGAAAGCTATGGGATCCGGCGCGGCCCGACACCACATGCATGCAAAAAATTGATTCCTCACATGCACATACTTAATGACCGAGTCCCGTTACAACCCCATCAAGAATGACAATATATATGAACATCTAAGAGACAATGAATTTCATATGCTTGAAAAAAATCTTCCAATTAGGCGTTATTAAGTTTGTCTCATTTTATTTTATATTTAATTTATTTAATTGTATGTGAAAAGTTTAAGAATTAAATGTACGGAGTATATAGTAACAAATTACTCCCTCTGTTTCCATAAATACTTCTTATTTTGACTAATGAAAGAAGTAATGAGTGTATGTTTATGATTGACTTTCCAATTTTGCCCTTGATGAGATGGATAAAAATAAGATGTAATAAGTAGATTATTAGTGAAAAAATATGATATGATATGTAGGATAAGAAAAATAGGTATAAAAGTGATTTTTAATAAAAAGTGAAAGTGTTTAGGAGAAAGAGAAAATAAATACGTAAAAGAATGAATGTTTTAAGAAACGAAGGGAGTACTTGAAAGGTTCTATAAAACAAAAGGTGACAAAATATACTCCCTTAGCTTTGTCTAAAAAAATTTATGTTTCATTTTTTTGTGCATTTCATAGAACATGTACTTCTATTTCTAAAATATCTTCAAAATAACTTCTACCAATAATAAAGGAGAAATATGATGAATCATAGACATTATAGATATGTATTTAGGCGAATCCTTGGGTTCTCCTCCTAAATAGCGTGTTTTAAAACACTCTTTATGTGAACCAATAACTAATAGACACATATGCAACCTCATTCAAGTATGGTCAAATAATTTTTTTACTTTGCAATTAGTCTCTTGGATATCCTAGCAAATTAATACCCAATTTTCAATAATAATAATATTTTGTCTATGATCATATAATTATTATATATATATTACTATACAATTAAATCATGTTAGATTATTTAATGTTGCATATACTTTAATATTAATAATATCTTCCCTAAAAAAATAATTTCTTATATGATATTATATACAATTAATATTATCAAGTTATAGTTATTATTATTATTTTAGTAACAATAGCATGTTAAAAAAGTTTAGTAATTAACAATAATATATAATAAATTTTAGGCTAAACTCCATTATTAGTCCTTCAACTTTATCAATTGTGCACGATTGGTCCTTTAAGTTTTAAAAGTCCATAAATAGTCCTTCAACTTTATGAGTTATGCACGATTGGTCCTTCAAGTTTTAAAAGTGCATAAATAGTCCTTCAAGTACACGTCAGCCATCCAAATGATCGAGGTCCTTTTTTACAATAAATGTTAAAAGTTAAATGGAATACTAGCTCCATATAATACGGAGTAATCGTACCTAGTGGAATTTACTCGTATTATATGAAACTAGTATTCCGTTTAACTTTTAATATTTACTGTCAAAATGACTTCATCTGGAGGGCTGACGTATACCTGAAGGACTATTTATGGACTTTTGAAACTTGAAGGACCAATGGTGCAGAACTCATAAAGTTGAAGGACTATTTATGAACTTTTGAAACTTGAAGGACCAATCGTGCACAACTGATAAACTTGAAGAACCAATCGTGCACAATCGGGTATTAATTTGCTAAGATATTCAAGGGACTAATTGCAAAGTAAAAAATTTATTTGACCATACTTGAATTATGTGGCATATGTGTTCATGTGTCTATTAGTTATTGGTACACATGCGGAGTGTTTTAAAATACCCTATTTAGGAGGTGCAACTAAGGATTTGCCTAATTTAAAATAAGCAAACAAAATGAGTTAATTTTGACCTTAAAAATAGTCTTTGGAAAATCTATAGGGAGAAGGGTGTAATAACTATTTTAGGGAAAACTATAATAATGGGATGGAATTTGAGTTCCACACTCTCACATTGTCATCTGCGACTATGCGGGTCATTGCTTTGTCATTTTTTACTCTTTTTTAAGAACATTGGTTATTCGTGAGTTTTCTTTTTTATGATCAAATAATTAAAAAAATTTATTATTAAAATGCCTAAAATTTAAAGGTGCAAACAGTATTGACTTACATTATCTACTGCACGACATGTCACTCTATTCACTTAATATTTGCTAACTGGACCATTTTTCATTAGTTCAAATGTTCTACGTGAGCGTGTATCATTTCATTTTTACTTCATCATTGCTCATGCTCTTACCATATGGAGTAATTTTCTACTACTAATGCAAAGTAAAGGCCATCAAATTGGGGCTGGTTCCGTTGATGATCCCTGCCCCACAACCCATCCGGTAAAATCATCTTCCCCTGTCCTAGTTTGACCCAAACCTAATCCCCAACTCTTTCAGTTTCATTCTTTAAAATAATTTTGTAACGATTTTATTTGTGAATTTAACATTCCTCATTAAGGATACTACATAAAAAACCAAGAAGTTTTGATAGTTAAGTAATAAGTAATCAATGGGCCATTTGGAAAACAATTAACCATCGTGGTCAGGGATAGACTCTCTGGTATTGGCCCCGTTTCGCATCAGCATTAAAGATTAGCGTTAGCATTTTGAAAAAGCTATCCGACGGTAGCCTTTAACGTTAGTATTTTCAAAATTAATATGCACCATTAGAATTTTATCCAAAACACCACTCTAATGGAAAAGTATCTTACCAAATAAAGTGGGGTCGCTGAGAGAATGGCGCACCCAACCCAGGATCGTCTTCTCGATCTCAATCTTTCCCCCTATCAAACTTATCAGAGTCTCCATTAGGGCTCATACCATCTGGTAATTTGAGCTATTTTCATCTTATTCAACTGAATCTTATCCTAATGATCAGATCTTTCTATAACCATAATAAGAATTCTCCGTTCCATGTCGACGAAGAACTTTACTTTGTCTATTGGTTTCTGCTATTCGATTAATTACAATTCGATCAGCAGTTTGATTTGATTTATACTTCAATCGCGTGTATGTGCAAGCATTATATTTCTTTTATAATACGAAGTAAGAAAAATGTCGTATATAGCATTACATGTATTGGGGGTTCTGACTTTCTGTGTCTGAATTTGTACATTTATCGTCAATCTTGTCCTCCCATTCCTGGTTCATATCTGCATCATATTATCTGTCTAAACCATCTTAAATGTGTGTATATCTCGATTTGTATGGTTTTCACTTGCATCGTATTGCATAATCTGCATTATGGCCATTTTGTTTTGACTTTTGACAAGAGAAGATTTCTTAGGTTTGGCATGTGAATATGTCATGTTTATAGGATAAGCAATCCTTTTCACATGTGTGTCTAATTTCTGGCTAGTCTTTCATGGCCAGAAACAGCATTCAAAGTCATTGAAAGAGGCAAGGATAGATGACACCTTTTGTTGCCTTTGTGACTGCCTTGCCCCGTAGTTAACCATCTAGCTCCTCCTCCTTTCCTATTTAAGTGCCCACCTTGAGAGGCTTACCCTTAATCACCACTTAGTTTAGTAGTTTCACAATGGACTACTTCTGCTTATGCCAATTTTTTTACATTAACTGGTCTGTTCTGCAACTTTTTCTTGCTTGGCTTGCATTGAAAGATGCATTTTTGGTATTTGACCAATTTTTTTCGTTATTCTTGTGGCTCTGACTCTTATTTTACAGTTGAATATTATGTTCAAAAGATTGATGATATGTGTTACTGCACAGGGAAAAAACTGCTGAATTACAGCTCTGGCAATCAAACTTCCTTTATGAGTCATTTAAGCTAAATACAAAGGTTGCAATTTAGTTCTATCATTTTGAGAAAAATGCATTGCGAAGAAATTCTGAAGGCTGTCTTCCCTTTCTTGGACGGCAGTGACCTTGCTACATGCATGTTAGTTTGCAAACAGTGGCGTGAAATTGCACAAGATGATTACCTCTGGAAATGTCTGTGCATAAAGAAGTGGCCATCAATATGCAAGCGCCCATCCCCTCCCACTGAAACCTTCTGCAAGTTATTCCAGACATTTTATAAGCACAAGGATAGCAAAGTCATTCTCCCTCCTAGATTGTCTTTCAATGACTTGGAATTCTACATTGACATTTGGGCTGAAGAAAAGATAATTTACTCAGAAGTGATACCGGGGCCTGTTCTCCGGAGGGGGGCATGGGTCCCGCCTCCTGGCATCTGCAATGTTTTAAGGTTTCATTTGGAAGGGCCAGAATACAAGATGACCATTCCCGTAGAACCAAGGTTCACTGTTCCTTTGAGCCAGACAGTGAGTGTTTCGGTGCTTGTAGGGCGGAAGGATAAGAATAAAGTTGCTTGCATTATTAACAAATCCATTTTTGATTATGTGGACCGAACAGCATACCGGGCTTTAGCATACGACTATCTCGAGTTCTCCTCTCCAGTTTGCTTATTTGTATCTGGCATTCGAGCATGGATATCATTACTCTTCATGGACCATGGCAAAGAAGGGGTTACTGATGTGGTTATTGATGTTTTTGGGATTGAAATGGATTTCTGTGATGCAGCTAATTCAGAAGACGAGGTTTTGTGGCTTCTTGACATGCTAGATTGGAAGTGAGCTTGCGTGGCTTTCTAATGTTTCTGCAAGGACCATAGTTTTGACCCCCCTTCATTCCAATCCAATGCTTGTATGCTCTTCATCATTGATGCGATTGTGGGGCTATATCTGTGTATAAAATGTAAAAAAAAAATTCTCTGTCTTCTAGTTCATGCAGTCCCAGTTTTATATATGCACCCGCCCATACAAAAGAAGGCAAAAATGTGATCTTGTTTGTTGTCATAGACCAACTTCTTTATTTATGATGCAATAAAATTTAAAATTTCTTCTTAACAACTGTCATACAATTATTTCTTACCTTGCTCAATGTCAGGGCACTTTGAATTGTATTTTGAGGTAATTTACAGGAAACCCATTGCTCATAATGCAGTCATAGGGCTCTGTGGGTATGATGGGCGAATAAAGTAATCATTACTCATTTCCACCGACATTTAACAGTGAAAATTTCATATTACCGCTTTTAAGAATAGTACTTGGTAACAATGTTGCGTCCTAGCACAATGGAGGGATGGGAGAATTCTTATGTCTACCTCTAAACAAGAAATAACAATTAGTTCATTAAGATTGCTTATAAGGAACATCATCTTATGTACTGGCAAGATTTTTCACCACCTGTTCTTTGATAAGTCTTCTCATGATTTTTCCCGAAGGTGATTTAGGAATGGTGTCAACAAATTGCAGAACTCTAACACGCTTGTAGTGCGCAACGCAAGATGCTACATAGTTCTTTATGTCCTCTCCAGTATCCTTTGCTCCATGCGACAAAACGACACATGCAGCAGGAATCTCACCAGCTTCTTCATCAGGTAACCTGCAATTTAGATTTCATTGCTAAATTAATGCTGGCACCACCTCTCAAGTCCATACATGTATGCAGTTCATAAAGATAATGTTTTCTTTAAAAATAACTTTTTTAATTTCCACTTACCCAACAACAGCAGCATCTTCGACTGAAGGATGACTGAGAAGTGTTGCTTCCAACTCTGCAGGAGCTACCTGTAAGTTTAATTCACCAATCTTGATTACTTGAGGAAAGCTCGGCCTGTTTCTAGGTTCAAAATTAAGTATTCCCTTTATTGACAATAAGTGTAACATTGGATATTTTTTTGTTGTTCAGAGTTAGTGTTGCTTTATAAAAATAAGGGGGCAGTTAATGCCAATTCCCCCCTTTTCCCTTTACGAAGTCAAGACAGCATATTCAATGTTAATAGGGGTATCTTGAGATCTATATATATATATATATATATATATATCATTTTATGATTCCTTAATCTTTCAAAGCGACACTTATTGTGAACCTAAGGGAGTATGAGTTAGCCATTAGTAATATTTTTACTTGGAAACCCTTGAACTTGATCAGCTCTTTGATGCGGTCCACAATGAAGATATCTCCATCATCATCAATGTAACCAATGTCTCCGGTATGGAGCCAGCCATCCTTGTCTATTGTAAGTGCAGTCTCATACTCGTTATTGTAGTAACCTAAAAATTAGTTTCTGTGAGCAGAAAAGGATTTTGATTCGACGAAAGAATGAATTGCAGAATTAATATTTTCCACCTTTCATTACACATTGGCTTCTAACACAAATCTCTCCCGGGGTGTTTTTTGGAAGAGATAAACCAGATTCAGGATCAATGAACTTCACTTCCAAATTAGGAAGAATAAAACCTACTGAATTTTTCTTGGCAATGGCATGATCCATTCTTGGATCTCCGTGAGTAAGTGTGATGCAGCTGTGCTCAGTCATCCCATATGCCTAGCAAGTAGCAACAAAACCAGTATTGTTAGGGGTGTGTTTGGTTCATAGAATATGATATTACTATTTTGTCTTTAAAATATTACAAAGGTTATGACAAGTTAGTCAGAGTTACCCCCAACATTACATCAGTTTCTTACATGGAGGTTATCTCAAACCCTGAACCAGACAAGGTTTTCTCACTTTACCTTGGTTGCATTACCATGGAAATGTCAGATTACCTAGATCAAATGCTTGGCTTTTAATTATACCAGTTTTGTGTTAAGTAAACTTGAATATGGAGGGATTTTCTCTGACCTCTTGGACTTGGACATCGGGGAATTTCTTCTGGAATTCATTAAGAATTTCCGGTGCTAGTGGGGCAGCAGCCGTCATGATGGATTTGAGTTTGAGCTTGGTGAGATCATAGGTATCCACAATGGGGTTCTTGACCAAACCCAAAATGATGGGTGGCACAATTGGTGCAAAATTGACTTCATGGGTGATGAGTGCATCAAGAAATGCTCCCAGTTCATATCGGCGCATCACCACCACTCTCCCTTTGTTTCTCATGGTTGCACAACAAATCCCAACCAATCCATATATGTGGAAGAATGGGATCAGCCCTAGTATAACCACATTCCCTATTAACTCCGGTCCTACGCTGAAAAGTGAGGAGCAAAGGTTAGCCACCACATTCCTATGTGTCAGCATCACCCCCTTTGACACCCCAGTTGTGCCCGATGAGAATGGAAGGGCACAGAGATCACTCTGCCTCACCACCTCATCTTCTGGTATAGTGAGGTCATTGCTCGCACGGTCTGCAGCTTGGAGCAATTCATCCCAGTTTATTGTCCCCTGAACTTGCTCTTCATCTACTACTATCACTGGAATGCCCAAATCTTTCACCTGTCATATGTGAAGATAGATTAAAAAAAGTTGTTTTGCTTACTGATATCAGGTTTTCTAAGGAAATGACTCTTCACCACACATGGAGAGGACATCGTATGCAACACCATTATTGGCGGTACGTTTTAAATTTCAAGTATATGTCCTGTCAATTATTTGTACCATTCTACCCATCTGTTCCTATATATCTGTTTCTATTGATCAAATTCCAAAGGGGGGAAAACTATAATTACAAACGAACTTTAAAAAAATGCACTTGTAGTATGACTAATCAGAAATATATATAGGAATGATAAATTCGTCAAAAAGTTACACTATATATGGAGGGAATCTGGGAATGTTCACTCTCATTCTAATTGCTCTGTTTTATCATTTGAAAAAAAAGGGTGAAAATTTGGTAACCAGTAATTATTGTTCATAAGGGAAATATTTTTTTGCAAGCACTCATCCCCAGATCCTACTTTTTTTGAGATTCTACTGAGTTTGTTGTTGCTGAAGGACACAGTAACAAAAGCAAACAGTAACATAAATAACCATCTATACGTGTGGGACTGGGAGGGCAGATGGCAGGTTGAAATTACCATCTACACAGTAACATAAAAAACTTTGTTGAAATTACCTTGTGACAAGTTGGTGCATCAGTAACAAGGAGCTTCGCGTCTGCGACTTCAGCTTGCTTCTTCAGTTCAGATGTATGCGATGCTGGGTTTGCACCAGATATGACCCCACCTGCAGCCATGATTCCCAGTGCGATAATGGCGTACTCAGCCACATTTGGGAGCACGACCACCACCACCCTACCCTTCCTCAACCCTAGTGACCTTAGTGCCTTGGCGAACCTCCGGGTGTCCCTCAAGACCTGGCCATAGGTGTACTCTCTCCCAGTGGTGGAGTCTACTAAGGCCACATTGTTAGTGTAGGGCTCTATGTTGTGAAGCACGAAATCGGGCAGAGTCATGTCATCTGGAACTTGCACCGGGGGATATTTGCTCCGGAAAATATGGTCTTCGTTCGGTTTCGCCATGGCCTGTTGCCCAACCTCAGATCCCATGCTTGGCAGTACTTTGTTGTGTTTCCTAGGAAAAATGAAACTAGTAGTTTGATGTTCTGAGTGTGTTGATATAATAATTTATAGAAGTGTGTTAGCAATTATTTTTTTAAAGTTGGGGGTAGGAAAAGAGTAGAAAGAATGCAAAGTGGATGGTGAAATTGTAGTAGGCAATTTTATAGGTAGGAATTTGTTGAATCATTCCATTTTGCATTCATAAAAACTGCTGTGACTTGCCAAATGTTTCTTTTGCCCATTTGTGTATTTCCTACTCCAGGTTTTAATATGATTAGAATAAGTTTTGATTTGGTTTGATCTGATTGCAGGTGTATTTAAAATTATTTCTAATCTGATTACAATAAGAATAAGTAATAACTAATAAGTATTTTGTAATAAGAATATGTTGAAGAAAATGAGTTCTAATGCTTCCTCTATTGTAGATTACATGCAATTTACAGTTTGATTTTTTCTGTCAATGTTTGATTACTCTGGTTAGTTCTTAAATTATTTTTCTCGGCACAAAAACAAAAATCCACTTTAACTAGACATGAATATTAGGAAAATATATTTGATTGAGATTTATTTACTGTCAAAGTTCATTGGTTATTGTTGTTAGTTCTTAAAACTTACGAAGTATTATATTTTCTCCGCACAAAATAGAAATTCGCTCTGACCGAACATAAAGGAGTACAAAGATAATTTTGGGATGAACAAAAGAAAATGCAAATATAACTTTGGAACTGATTTAGTATTACTTTATTAGATCAAAAACAAGATTATTTACTCCGTACTATGCAAAGATAACCTTGACAAAACTCTAAGAATTAAATCTGAAACAAAAACAAGATTGTGTATACATAATGATGACACTAAACAAGAATACTTATTGAGGGAATCCTATTAACTTGTTCCAACCTAGGACAATAAACTCCTTGTGAAATTCAAGAGATTAAATCTAATCGATTACTTAATTCAACTGAATATCTTTATTATATACTAGTACCAATTACTTTTTTCTTCAATTCTGATTGTGACATTAGATATCAAAACATATTTTATATCGGTCCAAAGCTCAATAATAATTTATTTTAATCAAAACAAATTTATTTAATTGAATATTTAATTCAATAAATGACAAGTATTTTTAATATTAAACTGTTACAAAAGATTTTACATGCAAACAGAAACATTTATGTTAAATTTGACAACTTTTTTGATAAATTCTAAATTTGGACAAAAAATAAGATGGGGGATTTTTTGTTCCATGAAGTGGCCAACCAAAATATCCAACAAGCTATGCTTATTTCGCAACATACCATTTAATTTACAACTAACAATCTAACATAAACACATAAGCCCGGAAATAACATAAACACATGTTTTGGAGAAGAGGATTCACAAAATTGTGGGTAGTTCAACTCAATCAAATACTCCCTAGATGGTTAACTTCTAGTTGATTCGATTTGAAGTTGTTTTTTATCGCATTAACAATTTAAGATCATATTTGAGAATAACATTTTCAATTACTGTTTGCGTTACAGATATTAAAAAAATATACATGCAAATTAACTTTCAAAGTACTAAAAGCTAAACGTATTATTAGATAGGATTTTCAAAGCTTAACATTGAAGTTATTGCCAAACATATCCTAACCCACAGAAATAAGCTTTGATTTCTAGTTTAGCCTTACCTTTTTATAAGAGCAATAGTAATGGAATGACGCCCAGCCACGTTAAGAGACTTTTGACGTCGGGGGGGGGGGGTTAAACACCACCCCTTCCCCGTTATGACTCTGTTAAAGATTTTGCGTCATACTTTTGACGCAACTTCAAGGCGTTAGAACCCCCCCCCCCTCCTCCCTCCCCCACAACATAATGCCGTTATAACTAAAAAAATTCAACACAAAAAAATTCTCCCTCTTTCTTCTTCTTTCCTTTTCTATAAATCAAATCAATTTTTTTTAAAATTCAACACAAATACAAATATCTCTTTATCTATCATCTTTCTTTTAAAAATTATTATTCAAATATTTTATGAGTATTTATTTTGTCATTAATGTAATTTCTTTACTTTAATGAATGTAATTTTTTTTATTTAATGAATGTAACTTTTTATACTAAATGTATTTTTTTAATAAACTATTTTTGTTTCAATTATTTTAAATAATTAAATAATTTAATTTTAGAAGATGTGTATCTAAAATGTGAAAAATGAAAGTTTGAAGTTCCTTAGCTTCAAACTCATTTTCACTAAAACTGTGAGGTCAGTTAAAGCTAACGTAACCGAAAAAGAAGATTTGAAACCCCAAAACTTCATGAGTATTTCCAGTGCTCTAAACAACACCAAAAAGGACAAGAAGAAAGCCATTATAACTTGTCAGCAGAATAAAATGAGCAGAGTTTCTTTTATAACTCAATAGTTGGAAATGGAGATACAAACCCTGCAAGAACTTGGGATATACGTAGAATACATCAAGAACCAAGCTGGGCAGGTTACTCAAAGTGGGTTTCTGGATACAAATCTACTAATTATTTGCATCAAATAAATAGTTTTACATTTAACAAAAATAAATGGAAAAAAGAATAGCACAGGGCTCGAAAAGTTTGCCCTAATTTGAACTCTGAATGAAAAATGTGCCACTCCAAAACTTGCTATGTATTGGTGAAGTGAAATTAGTAGCGGAGCCAGTAGGTTCTGCGTCTGAACCAGTTGTAATCTGGTAAATTCTGGATCGGCCCGACTGCCGAAATAGCCACATCCTGTGATGAAAGATAATAAAACCAAAAAAAAAAGAACCGGGTCAGACAGAGAGTCACGTAGGGGAGATTTTCACTGTAAAATTGTCGCGATTTTTTTACCCGGTCAAAGATAAACCGGTTTGCAACACGTTTGACCGTGCTTGAGTCAACGGCGTCAATCCTAGCGAACAATTCAGCAAATGGGATTCTTCGGCCATACGTGAGAAGCTGCAGGAGGGAATGGGTTCAGTGTTCTTGTTATTCCAGCAATGGGTTATCTTATTTAATGGCTGCTACCAAAATGGTAAATGAGAAAATATAGGGATTAGATCATAAATAAAATTTACCTGGCGACCAATATCTTCAGCAACAGGACTGGTTCCATCAATGTGAAGCATCAGAGAAGATTTTAGCTGTGAATACATACGAAGTTCGTGGGATAAAAGAAACAACTTTTTAAAATGGAAATAAGTAATACAATCCTCTTTACAAAAAAAAGTGACATTTTAAACTTCATCCACTAAACCAAACAAGTTGAAACATATCTTTTTGGGACAAGAATTCTATTAACTGGGGTGTTCAGTTTGGTTTTGCCAATTTCATTTTTGTTGGTCCGGTTTTTGTTTTTTCAAATATGCAACCCAAAAACTAAACTGATTAGCGTAAGGGCATTTCTCTTCAACTTATATTTTTAGAAATAGTTAGACCAGATAAAAAATACGGAGAACCTTAACTTTAATCATATCAGAACAGATTTAAAGGGCAAAATCTAATCAGATCAGAACTTAATAAATTCATATTAGAACTAATCAGATCAGACGAAGAGAACATGCTCAAAAGTTGGTTTCGGTCCGCTTCTGATTTGGTTATTTTTGCTGGTCAATTTCGTACTCTTTTCGTCCCGAAATAATCTTCCGGTTTTGACTTTAAATGAAGTTAAAGAAAAAAAATTGTGTGGTTGAAATTTGTGCACAGGAAAGAGAATGAATGTGAACCATAGAATTTTTTCTTTAAAAGGAGATGGGAAGATAAATAGGGACATCCAAAAAAGAATAGTGGGAAGAATATTTAGGGACGTAGAGAGTAAGTTATTGTTGGTTTTGGCAAGTTTGGTCACTTTATTATGCATAAACTTAAATCGACACACCAATGAAAAGGTTGATTTTGGTTTTGATTGATTTGGTTTTGGCCAGTTAGTAAGTCTCTTTTGCTTTTTTTGTTTTTGTTCAGTCATACTCCATACAATTACATTAGTTTTTGGGGACGGGCGGGGGGGGGGGGTATTG